ATATATATGGAGTACAACTCAGTCATGAGAATGAGAAACTAGAAACATTTATAGCTAAATGGATTCACATAGAGGCCATACTCTTAAGAGAAATAAAAGGACATACATGTGTAAATACCAAATAGTTTCTCTGGTGGGAGAAACTGAAAGTGTAAATAAGGATCAAAATGTATAACATATAATATGAAATAGGAAGAAAAGGTTCAAAGGGGAAGGGGATGTGGGAGGCATAGGGGAAAGGAAAGAAAACAAAGGATTCAATATGAGATAAGGGGGAAAAAAAGAATGTTTAAATCCCTGGTATCCCATTGTTTTTGTTTGTTTGTTTGTTTTGTTTTGTTTTGTTTACTTACTCAACCTTGAATTAAAATGTTTAAAGTTAAATTTCATATGATAGCTAACCTCAACCAAAAACAAACTAAACCAAAAAATAAAGTACCTACACTATTAATTCCTTACCTCTCATTTCCTGGGGAAATATCAGCACCAAGACGTGTCCAGGATTTCTCAGGATAAGCACTGTGAAGCTGAAATTTCCCATAAACTCCTGAAAATAACACAAGCAACAGACAGATAGGAAAATCTTTCAAAATCATTATGGCCATGTAAATAAAACTCATTTTGGAAGTGGTTGTGCAAAATATGTAATATAGAATCTGTATATAAATATGTCCATTTTATGAGAAAAAAAGAATATCTAATTGCTCTATATTCCAGTAGATTAAATATATCGCACGTGGTTATGATATGTATTCTCTCCAAACCTACACAGAAATGAATACCACACCACATCTTAATAATCTAACAACCAGGAAGCATATCACTCTAATGATTACTTAAATTCAAGGGGGCATTCCTTTCCAGCATTAAGTGACTTAAAACTATTTACAATCCTATTGAATATTAACTGCTTTTGATTCTCAAAGAAGGACGGTGAGCCCTACTTCCTGAAAATAGGTTTTTGGTTCAATTAGCTTTATTTTCATTAGTGAAATTTAATATTTTATCTTTCCGTAGATATTAAGGAAGAAAACTTTAAGGCCTTTGTTTCACAATAAAATCTATTTTAGACTCACAATTTAAAGTCATACCAGGAACGTGCTTGACACAGCCCAGTTTTATTCCATTAGATCTTTTTTCTTGCATGTTTTATTTCTATTTTCAAACATATTAAGAATAATTTCTGATATTATAGTAATCTAGAAGTGCTGTCTTCATGAACCCAATCAGCACTAAGATAATTGTAATTATGTACTTTCAATATATGTGCATTTATTTAGATCATATTAAGTAATATTTGTTATTTTAGATAAATTTTTGTAATAAAATATAAAATTTATAACACATATATTAAACTAAAAGTTTCAGTATTTTCCTCCTGCATTCAAATGGATTGTTTGCATATTCCTGGGTTAGTGCATCCTATTTTGTGATAAATCAGTAATTCAAAAATGTAAAAATTTCACAATATTCAGAAATTTATATGAATAAAAGAAGTAAGCTTCAGAGGCAATCTTTCACGTCATTTTAAGAATATATTTCACAATCTATCATATCATAAAAAAATCTTTTCTCATCATAAGTAAAATAAACTGGTCAAAGAAAGACCCCGAAATAATTTACAAAGATTTTCAACAATAATATTTATAACAAAAATCAGTTCATGTCTTTAAATTTGAATTATCCAGAAAATTCAATTGACAAAAAAAAATTACTCGGTCATTTCCAAACGTCAAAAGTTTACTATAAAATGATGCATTTCTTAGTTGTTTCAATGAAATTATAAAGGATTGAAAAGAATTAAAATTTGTCTACATGTTTAGCCCTTTTCTTCCTATTTCACATTGTCTATTATCTCATTAGGATCTTATGGACTATTATAGCTTATTCACACCACAGAAACTATTTGGTATTTATACATGTATGACTTATTTATTTCACTTAGGAGTATATCCTCAATATGTATCCATTTTCCTATGAATGAATTTAATTTCTCATTCTTTATGGGTGAAAGTGGGAAGGATGGGAGAAAGGTAATAAGGGAAAGGAAAAAAATAGAAGAAAATGAAAAATGGAAATAAAATGTTTGTAAATGGGGAGGGGAGGAGGGGGTGAAGGGAGGGAAGGGACAAGGAGAAAAAATGAGAACCAAGACCTGTCATGTAAAGGCACAAGATCCCAATATTGAATGCAACTGTAATGTATACCTAAAATGTACCAAACCAATAAACTCAATGAGAAAAAAAAAAGAAATAAAATTTGTTTTTTAATTAGGATACCATAAAAACTTTATCATGCAGTTAAGCAAATATTTCATTATTTATTTAAATTTAGTGTCAGAGAAAATTTCAAAACATTAGTTTAACTATGAGGTTGGAGTCAGACATTAGGACATGCACCCATGCTCACTCCAAACTGAAAGTTGGATCCAATATGGTTACTCCATAAAAGAGAGAAATCAAATGCTCTTATTATAATCCTTTTAGTTTATCAATTGAGAATAAAACAAAAATTGTTTGATGTTCTCTTATTGAAAAGATAAAATAAATACAATATGGAAGCCTCTTTGGAAACTGTAAAGCACTTTCAAAGTAAGGCAATAGATGTTTGGGAACTAAGTTAGCAAATATCATACTGTCCTAATATGTATGTTTCACAATGCTCAGAAAACTCTTATAGAATTGTCTTTTCTCTTGTGCTACAAAAAAAGTGACTCACTTGAAAATAGCCTACACAACATTGCATCTAAAGGAAAACCATTTAAAATCAATATCCTGCATGGTGACAGTAAGACATATGACAATATAGTATTTAAAAATATAAGAAAGTACAGTGGAATGGCTCATTTAAAAATTCTGTAAGTGAGGGAAAGAGAAAACTTAGAATCCAGTTTTGGTGCTTTGTATTGTTTTGTTTTTTTTTGTTTTATTTTGTACCGGGATGGAACTCAATACTTTGCATTTGCGAGGCAGGCACAGTACCACTGAGCTAAATCCCTGGCCAAAAAACCCAGTTTTGAAAACTGAACTTTTTGTTTTCCTGAGGCACAGTCTTTCTGTATAGTCCACAATGGCTTTGGACTCACTGTGTAGGCCAGGTTAGCCTTGAACTCACTGTTCTCCTGCCTCCACACCCTGAATGTTGAGATTGCAGATGTGTATCTCCACAGAAAAGGGAGTTTTTTCACATGAAGAGTTATCCCACCTCCCTTATAAAATTAGCAATGCCTACACAAAGCCAGTGAGACAGCACTTAAAATCTGATGAACATTCTCTTATCTCTTGAAACTGAGTAGTTTTGGAGCTCTTACATCATGGCTATCCAAGGCTAATATTAATTTTTGTGCTCTTCTGTAGGCCAGTTCTAAAAATAAAATGTAATATGGAATGGAAAAACTCTCAACACTAAATGAATTCTAAAGACCTAGAGATCTATCAGTATTAAATGTCTCAATAATCACATGATATTTATAGTTGATAATATACATCCTTAGTCTAGACTTCAGTGTTTGCCACATCTGGATATAAATATGTTTTTCCACTTCCAACCTATATGGCTTTCCGCCTACTGGTTATCATATCTGAGTTTTAGTTATGACATTTTAAAAATTGGACAGTGCTGCACCACAAGAGAACAAGTGAAAGAATAAATACGTTATTTAGAGGAGTGCCTGGAATTGGATATGTGTCTTATGAATGATCTCTCTCTCTCTCTCTCTACTTTATTTTATTTTTTAAATTTTTATTAATTTTATTGGTACATCTAAGGAATAAATATAATGGCATTCATTGTTAGAAATTTGTACCTTTACATAATCAGTCTTGGTTCTTATTTTCCCCAGTCCCCTGCCCTCCCTTCAACCCCTCTCTCCCACCCAATCTACAATGACTTTATTGCTATTATTTTTCATTTTCTCATATTGATTCCATTCCCTTCTTTCCTTTCCACTATGCCTCCTATTTTCCCTTCCTCTTTGTCCCTTTTCTTCCTATTTCACATTTTCTATTATACCTTTTAGTCCTTATTTATGCTTTCAGTTTCTCACACTAGAGAAACTATTTTATATTTACATGTTTCCTACTTGTATCAATGTGCATCCATTTGGCTATAAATGTCTCTAATTTATCATTTTTATGGCTGAGTAGTATTCATTTTCTTTATCCAGTCTCCAGTTGATGGGCGATTGGGATGCTTCCAAGTTTTAGCTGTTACAAATTATGATGCTATGAACATGGGTGCACTTATATCACTGTGGTATGATTCTTTTAATTCTTTGGGAAAGACACCCAGCAAGAGAGTAGCTGGGTCAAATGGGCCCTCCAATCCTAGTTCTTTGAGGTATCTCCATATTGATTTCCACAGTGTTTGCCCCAGTCTGCACTCCCACCAGCAGTGGAACACGGTTCCTCTTTCCCCGAAGCCCTGCCAGCATTTTTTATTGGTTGATTTCGTGATAGCAGCTATTCTTTCTGGGGTGAGGTGGAATCTCAGCGTTGTTTTCATTTGCATTTCTCAAATGACTTGATGGCTTCAATGCTGAATTCTATAAGACATTTATAGAGGAACTACTGCCACTCACACTTAAACTTTTCAGTGCAATTGAAAGGGAAGCAATATTCCCAAATTCATTCCTGGAAGCAAGCATCACCTTGATCTCCAAAGCAGAGAAAGACCCTTATTTGATTTTTAATAAAAGTATTTTGTACTCTTACCAATTGCTCCTGGGTCAATATGAATTCCATTGAAACGATTGCAAAAGATTCCTTCTGAGGCTCTAAGGAGAATCCGAAGCTTTTGTCCTTTTTCTAAGGGATTTTCTACAGTACCTGTTTACAAGGAAAAGATTATCATGCAAAGTAATTTGAAAGTAAAGCAAGAGTGCAAAACAGATGCTACCAAGTAAAACACATGGAGAAGGGCCAACAATAGTCATATAGGTGGAATAAGAATGGGGGCAAATGAGATTCAGTAAACTTCTACAAAGGAGACTGGATTATTATTAGACAAATATTCATTGTTCTTTCTTCATTAGGTCATATGCTTTCCTAGCCTACTAACATTTATCCTGATCACATGAATTATTTCAGCTAAGCAAATTTGGGTGGGAGTGATTGTAATACCAGTTCTCAGTTGATCTTTTAAGAGACTTGGTAAGTTTTACCAGAAACTCACAATGATCTCTGGTGTGAAAGCTGCTAGTACCTGAATGAAGATACACAGAAGAATGAAGATCTGAACAGAATGCATGAGTTAGAGCGAAGTCTAACCAAGTCTAATACAAATATTTGTTTTCACAAACTACTGAGATTCAAAAATTGTTCTAGTTTAGAAGTGTCCTGAGAATGTACCCAAAAATGAGGTTACCAAATATGTTTGAAATAGCTGATGAGCTTAAAGTTATCTACTTGTTCTTTTGGTTGGTGGTTTTTTTTTTTTTCCAGGCAATATAAACCATTCATTCCCTCCTATGGCATTTCATATATACCTGCTTAGCCAAAAGACACCAGGTGAGTTTGAGCTTGCTGCATTCTGTCTTGACAGTCCAGTCATCATAGCCATTATTTTTTAAAGAATTGTTGAAAGCAAAACTCAGAGAGGCAAGGCAATCTACCTAAAATTATAATAGGCCACTAGGGAGCATGGATGAGAACGCACAGGCTGTGTGTTTCCAATATGACACTGAAGTATACTGCTGGTAATGACGGCCCTCAACTGAGCCACTAAGGTGTCCTCTTGGCCCAACAAAGATGCTATAGGGCAAGAAGAATGGAAGTGGGGGAGGAGGAGAATGTTAAGCAAATGTGTATGGTGCAGCTCTTATCTTGCGGTTATAAGTCTGTCCCAGTAAGCTGTTTTCCAACTGTGATTTCATTTATTTCACGGAGGGTAGTTGAAAGTCTTGAGGAAAAATGGCCTAGTACTAAACAGATACCAGAGTGAAAAAAGTAGGACAGTTTTTGCCCTAGAGAAATGTATGCAGAGTCCTACAAAAAGAGTTCAGCATTTCTCTAACATCAGAGATTAAATCAATTATGCAACCCAAAACTGCAGCACATGTGGAGCTCTCCCAGAAAGTCTGGGCAAAATTAGTCAGCCTGCCATGATTTGGGTATCTGAAGTGACCAGAGTCTGAGATCTTTTTTGTTAACTTGGGGGAAGGGAAGAGAAGAGAATAAGAACTAGGTAAAAAGGCAAAAGAAAAAGAAGAAATACATTTCAGTTCTAACACAAAAAGGCAGTGCTTCTTGTATTTAGAAAGGCTAGTGGGTGGAAAGCTTTATCTTTATCCCTATGCGAAAACAGCCACCTCTCCAGAGAAGATGCTCAGGCTAAGGCAGTTTGTCCTTGGTTTGCCTATGTAAAGCCGATCCACACTATAGCAAGAAGCACCTAAAAAGGAATGTGTATACTCATAATGCCAAGGGAAATAATTGTCATTTTGCTTCAAAGACATTCCAGATGTTTTCACAGGCATAATTTCACTCAGTTCTCACGGGCCTTTGATGACTACTGCACAGGTTCTCATGAGGAAACTGAGGCAAAAAGAGGTTAAGTAACTTGTCAGGAATTACACAGCTATTAAGTGGTGAATTTGGGCCTTGAATTTAATAAGTACCATTCTAGGCCACATGGATACAGGGATAGGAGAAAAGTAAAACAAAGTCAATACTACTTAGCATGATGCTGGATAATGGAGGGAAAGCAGAATACATTCCAGATGCTAAAATCACCTAGGGAGATGGAAAAGAAAATAAGCTCAGCCTAGGAAAGATAATCATTATAATGACCTGGGATATACGGTACAAATGGATTGTTGAGACTTCAAAGGTAAGACAAAGGGAAAAGGAACTTTTGCTATTTTATTAATTAAACCTTTGATGGAATCAAGTATAAGCCTGCTTTATACTTGAGCCCATTCCACCCACCTGATTCCCCACATCCTGATCTCAGTCAGATCCTACAGGTTACTGACCAGTCTCTCAACCCTCTCACCCATATGAGAGCCCTTGGTCTTTTTCATACCTCTTCATTTTCATGCTTCCTGACTCTTAATCTTCTGTCAACTCTTGGATCCATTCTAACTAATGTTTAAAAGCCTGCTGTCATCTTGAATTAGATGCCAATTTGGGGCATAAAAATGCAGGTGCCCTGTTGCAGTAATTCTGCTTCAAGGTATTTGTTGCAAAGAGTTAGTATGGAATATGGACAAAAGAGTAATGCCCAAAGCTCTTTGCTGTAGTCTTTATTTATAAGAGCTAACATTTCAACATTCTTTAAAATGGCAAACTAGAAGCATCTTCATTCCTATGGAACTCCTGCCTGTCTCCCCAGTCTTTCTAATATGCTCAGAGGCTGAGTCACATAGTCCCACAAGTTTCCGCCCAGAATACCACTACTACCCCCCCTTGCTTTCACAGCTTAAATTAATTGTCAAAACGAGCTCAAATGTTACCCCTTTTCAGATCTTTTCTTGTCAACTAAATCTTTCCTCTTCAGCTACCACAGCATGCCATACTGTACCCCAGTATTTTTTAAACTTTAGTATATATATAT